AGAAGAGTTTATAAATGAAAATACTGGAATAAAGGACAGACACATTTTATATTCTGACATTGTCAAATTTCCTGCTTTCTTCAAAAATAATCTGATTAACTCTTTTCTTGAGGACCTAAGCTCATGCTTACCAATATGGTTATTTTCTTTCTTTGTATTTTTTTTTAAACTCTGCTTTAATACTGTGGTGATACCCTTGGGGCTACAGAAGTAAATGGCACTATTCATTTCCACAAAATAGTTTTTATACTTTTTTTAATCTTTTATTGTCTGTCAGTTTACACTGTCATCACTGTATTACTCGTAGCATTTCTTCTCCTTAATTCTGCTGGAAACCTGGAAACCAAAGAACTTAATGTGCTAAAACTGAGATCAAATTCAAAATTAAATTAAATGTTCACACGAACATACTTTGTAATTGCTACTTTAATCTCCCAGAGGCCCTTCATGCATCTAGGTTATAAAGGGGTAAGGTTCCCAGATTATACACATGGGGCTGGAGAAATATTAATATACTAACAGGCAATTTAATCCCATAAAGGTGGCATGTACCAATGCCATCTCACTAGTCCAAGTGATCAATTTCAGTTCACAATTGATCATAATGAAAGGACTAAGAGTCAAAGGGAGCACATAAACAACTCTAGTACCTGCTAATACTAACTGATAGAATAAATAAAGGGGAGAGTGATCCAACATGGGAAGCGAGATACTCAGCAGACTCATAGAATGGCGGATGTCCTAAACAGCACTCTGGCCTCAGAATCAGCCCTAAAGGCATTCGGATCTGGCTGAAAAGCCCATGAGAGTATTTCAGGCATGGAAAGCCAAGACACTCTGGCAATAAAAAAAAAAAAAAAAAAAAAAAAACCACCACCTAAATGAAAGATCTCTGTGAGTGACATCCCAGTGGAAAGAACAGGTCTTCAAAGAAGGAGGTACCTTTCTCTGAAGGGAGGAGAGAACCTCCACTTTGACTATGACCTTGTCTAAACAAGATAAGAGTTGGAGAACTCAAGGGGCTTCCATAGCCTTGGAAACTCATGACTGGTGCATAGGGAGATTACTGATGCCATAAACAGGAGTGTCAATTTGCAAAGTCAACAACAGGAGTCACTGTGCACTTACTCCTCATGTAGGATCTCTGTCCTTAATGTGCTGTACATTGAGACTTAATGCTATAACGAGTACTCAAACAGTATATTTCACTTTGTGTTTCTATGGGGGTGCAAACTGTTGAAATCTTTATTTAATGTATACTAAACTGATCTTCTGTTAAAAAAAAAAAAAAAGAAGAAGAAGAAATTATCAATTCCCAACTTGACTCTCACTGGGATTAAACATGACAATAGGTCTGATTTCATCATCATTTAAAAAATCATCTATTATTTTTCACTTTATGTTTCTGTATGGGAGCAAACTGTTGAAATCTTTACTTAATGTATGCTAAACTGATCTTCTGTATATAAAGAGAATCAAAAATGAATCCTCATGTGAATGGAAGGGGAGAGGGAGTGGGAAAGGGGAGGGTTGTGGGTAGGAGGGACGTTATGGGGGGGAAGCCATTGTAATCCATAAGCGGTACTTTGGAAATTTATATTCATTAAATAAAAGTTAAAAAAAAAAAAGAAAATACATAGAATGAAAATAATGCATGAATTTCAAAAATATTTTGCACCAAAATAAACTTATCTTTTAATTCTAAAAAAAAAATATATATATATATATAAATATATATATACACACACACACACACTAACAGGCACCCTGGTCATATTCTTATATAGAAAATACCTTGGTTTAAAAAAAAAAAAAAAAACACAGAAGTAGGGGCTGGTATTATGGTACAGCGGCTTAAGCTGCTGCTTCTGATTTCAGCACCCCATATGGGAGCATTGATTTTGAGTTCTGGCTACTCTGCTTCCAATCCAGCTTCCTGCAACTGCCATCCTTTAAAAAAAGCAGCAAGATGGCCCAAGAATTTGGGACCCACCCAACCACCCATGTGGGAGACCAGGATGCAGTCTCTGGCTCCTGGCTTTGGCAAGGCACTGAGCTGGTTATTTATGTCCATTTGGAGAGTGCCCCATATGGAAGAGCTCCCTGTTTCTCTGCCATTCTGCCATTCCAGTAAATAAACCAACCTTTAAGGGGAGGGGGGGGTAGGTAAAAATTAGCATAATGTCATTGTTTCAGTAAATATAACAATAGAATTAAAGTATTATAAAACTACTTTATAGAAATGAGACAAGAGAGGAATGGGACTCATAAATTCAAGGACCCCCATCCCAACCTGACATGAAAAAATACATCTCAAATTCCAAATCAATCAGGAGCGAGAAATGTCTAGACTAGCTATAAAAGACCCCCTAATGGCCTATTAGGGACTTCCCGATCAGCACGAATACCCAGAATACTCCATTGTAAACAACACCATTATTTTGAGTGTGCCGAGTGCAAAAGAAGGAACTATGCCTGCGCAGATCACTGAGCAGGGTACAAACTAGTCATGTGCCAGTGAGAGCAAGCCAGAACTCCAGGTGGATACAGATCCAAGTTCCAAGGGGGAACTGACATGCCTCTGCACTCAATAAAAATTCTTGCCTGGCTCCCATAATTGAATCAGTAAGCAGAAACTCTTCCTGCCACGCTGTCTCCTTTGGACTCAAGCATAAACTCCTAATAAACCTTGTCTGAGTTACATATTGGCCTCCTGTCAATTTCTATTTGCAAGTGAGACAAAGAGCCTGGGGTCGGTAACAAATATACTCTCCTATCCCTACACCCAACAAATAGGTTCCAAGGACTACTGTAGTAGACGTATGTGACTTATAATGATCTCCCCTTCTTTTTGGGATCATTACCTCACATTTTTAAAAATTCAGATTTACCGGGGCCGGCGCTGTGGCACAGCAGGTTAAACCCCCAGCCTGCGGCACCGGCATCCCGTATGGGTACTAGTTAGAGTCCTGGCTGCTCCACTTCCAATCCAGCTCTCTGCTATGGCCTGCAAAAGTAATACAAGATGGCCCAACTCCTTGGGGCCCTGCTCCCACGTGGGAGACCAGAAGAAGCTCCTGGCTCCTGGTTTCAGATTAGCTCAGCTCTGGCTATTGCAGTCATTTGGGGAGTGAACCAGCGGAATGCAAGACCTCTCTCTCTCTGGATCTACCTCTCTCTGCAACTTTTTCAAATAACTAAAATAAATCTTATAAAGAAAAAATTTTGATTTACCTTCTCCCTTTATTAGCTGTGAAGGCATTCCAGTATTACCATTACAGTGAATTGTTCAGAATAAGCATATAACCTTAGCAGAGTAAGACAAAAAAAGATCTCTGTAAGGATTTCTGGAGGAAAAAAGCTGGTACAAACTTGCCTTCTCCCTTCCTTCCATCCCTGGCCTTTCTTCTACTGCTTTCTCTCTCCTCTTTTCCTCTCTCCCTACCCCAAATGTACAACAGGTATGCCATCATTTTATTTCCAGTATGTGGGGGTATGATGACATACAATATAGAACAAAGGGAACAGAGAGGATAGTACTAAATGGAATCGGAGAATAAAGGCAACAAGGGAAAGCAGAGCCAAGAACTGTAGCCCAGAGATATTTCATTCCTGAATCAAAATATACCTGAACTTTTTAGTCATATGTCCCTGTTGAGATCAGAATTTTTTTTTTCATCTATAATTTAAAGAGTCCTTACCCCTACAGCTAACACACTATGGTCTGTCTTCAGATTTTAAGCAACATTTTTATCAAGTTCTACTAAAACTGTCAATCTATGATCTAACAATGATGATTTTGCTGTCTGAACAATATCTGAAGATTAATTCATCCAGTTTTTTATATCATGATTTTGCTTTTTTTTTTTTTTTTTTTTTGATAGGCAGAGTTAGACAGTGAGAGAAAGAGAGAGACAGAGAGAATCTTCCTTTTCCGTTGGTTCACCCCCCAATGGCCACTGTGGCCAGCATGCTATACCAATCTGAAGCCAGGAGCCAGGTGCTTCCTCCTGGTCTCCCATGCAGCTGCATGGCCCAAGGACTTGGGCCATCCTCCACTGCACTCCCGGGCCACAGCAGAGAGCTAGACTGGAAGAGGAGCAACCGGGACAGAATTTGGCACCCCAACTGGGACTAGAACCTGGGATGCCGGCACCACAAGCGGAGGATTAGCCAAGTGAGCCGTGGCACCGGCCTCTTCTCTTTTTTTCTAAGATTTATTTGTTTATTTGAAAGAATAACAGAGAGCCAGAGATCTTCCATTCACTGAGTCACTCCCAAATGGCCTCATCAGATAGGGCTGGCCTCATCAGATAGTTCCAAGACCTGGAACTCCATACGTGTCTACCACATGGGTGGCTGGGGCCCAAGAACTTGGGCCATCTACCTCTGCTTTCCTGGATGCAGTAGCAGGGAGCTGGATCGGAAGCTGAGCAGTTGGAATTCAAACTGCACTTATATGTGATACTGAGGTTACAGGCTGCAGCTTAATCTGCTGCACCACAACACCAGCAACCAGTTTTAAGACTAAAATTTTCCCTTTAAATTATTTTTTAACATATATCCTCAAGTCACTTTCATCAGTAATATGTATCTGAATATTGACAGAAACTCAGTTTAGCACACATTCAATTTCCAGGTCTTAGATCTCTGAAGAAATACCCAGTGCTTTGGAAAGATCACTAAAGCAAAAAGTTATAAGTGAATAAAAGTGTAAAACAGAATGATACCTAGATATTTCTTTTTCCTGGCATTTTGCTCCCTGATTTTAGAAATTTTAAACACTTTTCTAGAATGAAAACTACTGACATTCTAAGCCAGTCAATATTTTTTGTGGTACTAGGCAATAACTAAATCAACCACCAAAACAAGCCAGTTACCTAATTCAATCTAGTTCTGATGAAAAAATGAATTTAACCTATGGAATACCACCTTTATCTTTTATTCAAATGCTTAAACACGTAATTGCATTTCCAAGAACTGAAAAAAAGTTGACTTACCTCAATTGTTTCGCATAGTTCTGCTCAATCTCTATTCTCTCTTTAACAAATTTGGCGTATCTTTCCAAGAAGTCAATTCCCCATTGTGTATGCTTATCTAAGCTGTCGAACTGATCCTAAAAAAGGAAGGTTAAAACTCACTGGAAAGGTTTAAAATTGTATCTACAAACATTTTAGCAAGTTTGAGGTACAAAGTGAGAGCCCCACCCACCTCATCCTTTAGGACCTAGAAATAGGTTTCTAAGCATAAACCACACTACTTTATGCTTAAGTGCCTTTATCCACATGGTAAGCACCTGGCTGTTAAACTCCTGCCCCATCACCTTTTTGCAATTAACTTGTTTTCCTCCTTTAAAATTCAGCTCAGTCATTATGTCCTCTAGAAAGTGGTCCTAAATTCACAGATTGGAATAAATGATCTTTCTCTGAATCCCTAAAGTTCCCTAAAATGACTATCTTATTCATTTGTTATACCATCTTGAGGTCAGGAACTACGTATTAAACTTTGAACTCCCAAGGCCTAAACATCATGCTTGGTACTGTATCAGGCACTCAACAGAGAACAGTTCAGTTGCACAAAATCAATTATAAATGAGTTCAAATTCTGGGATCTGGGGCCAACCGTTGTGGCACAGCTGGATAAATGGTTCAAGTCCTGGCTGCTCCACTTCCAAACCAGCTCTCTGCTTAACACGCCTGGGAAAGGAGTTGAGGGATGGCCCAAGTGCTTGGGCCCCTACCATTCACGGGGAGACCTGAATGGAGGTCCTGGTTCATGGCTTCAGCCTGAGCCTTTGTAACCATTTGAGGAATGAAACAGCACTGGAAGCTCTCTCATTCTCCAACTCTGCCTTTCAAATAAATAAAATAAATTTTTTAAAAAATTACAGATCTGCCATTTATCAAATGTTTGACAATTGAGCAAGCTCATTTAGGCTCTTTGAACTTTTCTTCATCTTAAAATGGGAGTCCCATCACTAACGTCACAGGACTGTAGTGATGTTAAATGTTCTACAATGTGGGCCAGTGCCTCAGCTCACTTGGCTAATCCTCTGCCTGTGGTGCCGGCACCAGGTTCTAGTCCCAGTTGGGGTGCCAGATTCTGTCCCGGTAGCTCCTCTTCCAGTCCAGCTCTCTGCTGTGGCCCAGGAGGGCAGTGGAGGATGGCCCAAGTGTTTGGGCCTTGCAACCACATGGGAGACCAGGAGGAAGCACCTGGCTCCTGGCTTCGGATCGGCACAGCACACTGGCCATAGTGGCCATTTGGGGGGTGAACCAACAGAAGGAAGACCTTTCTCTCTGTCTCTCTCTCTCACTGTCTAAACTATGACTGTCAAAAAAAAAAAAAAAAGTTCTACAATGCAGTAAACATCATAGTAACACACAGAATATCATCATTCTACAATGTTCTATGAATTCTCAAAGATACTCCCTTCTACCTATTGCCAAAGAAATTGTTTCCCTTCAAGAATAATCTCAAAATTAACTAATAAGTTGGTGATCTCCCCCCTCCCATTTATTTACAATGCTGACAAAATATTTTCCCTTTCTGTATTTTCAGGTTCTTTTTAATGACCCATGATTTAATCACATTTGTTATTTATAAATGAATCAACTCACTTGCATTATCTCTTTTCTTGCCTTAAATCATTTCAAAATTCTACCATTAAAACAAAATCTAACTAAAAACAGAGCTATAATTCATCAAGTTATCATAGTTTAGCATTATTGCTCTCATTCTTCTAAGCAATTCTTCTAAGCAGCTTTTAATTGTCATTTGGCTTCCAAAGTAGATTTGAATACAGCAAAACACTGCCCAATAAATTCAATCTGAATAGCACGGTCCATTAGAAATTTAAAACAATTCCAATTATCCACTAGAAGACTGCAAAATTTTAAGACATTTATTTTTGAAAGGGGGGTGAAAGGGGCCAGCCAGTATTGTGGCCTAGTGGGTAAAGCCACACCTACAGTATCAGCATCCCACTTGGGTACCAGTTCAAGTCTTGGCTGCTCCACTTCTGATCCAGCTTGCTGCTAATGTGCCTGGGAAAACAGTGGAAGATGGCCAAAATCTTTGGGCCCCTGCACCCACATGGGAGACCCAGAAGAAGTTCCTGGTTCCTGGTTTCAGACTGGTCCAGCTCCAGCCATTGCAGCCATTTGGGAAGTGAACCAGTGGATGTAAGACCTCTCTCTCGCTCTCCCTTTCTGTGAAACTTTCAAATAAATAAATAAATTAATTAATTAATTAAAAAAAGTTGGGGGGTGGTGTGACACAGAGAGACATCAATCCGGTATCGACTGTTCTACTTCCCAAATGCCCACAACAGCCCTAGCTGGGCCAGGCCAGAGCTAGAGCCTGAAAATTCATCCAGGTCTTTCACATGAATGACAAGGATTCAATCACTTGGACTATCACCTGCTGCCTCCCAGGATCACACCAGCAGAAAACTGGATCAAAAACATAGTAGTCGGGACACATATCAGGCATTCCATTATGGTATGTATGCATGTCAAATAGCAACCTAATCACTGCACCAAATGTCTGCCCCTAGGTAGGTGACTTCTGAGTAAAGCAGGTTACCCTCCAGCGAGGTTTCACCCAGTGAGCTTTCCTAGGAGACTGACCTTCCCCCATCAAGAAGGAATTCTGCCAGCAGATCGCTTTTGTTCCAAAATGGCACTCTTCCCCAGGCCCTACCCTGCAGATTTTAGATTCACCAAGTCTCCTCAATCATGAATCAAATCCTTAAAAATCTCCCCCAACCCCACCCCCCACCACCAATTCTGTTTTTCTGGAGAACCCTAATACACTGACTTTAAAACAAGTGTCAAAACTTGTAAGAGACCATTGTTTTGGATTGAACTCCTGCAATAAGCCCTAACATAATCAAACCTAAATGGATTCACAACTGTTTAAGTCCCACATCACCAAGCTGTCACCAGGCCAAAACTGACTGGTTTATCTCCCTTCCGAGAAATTAGAAGAGAGACAAAGATAATAGCAAATTTCCAAATAGGGCAATTTTAACCTACAAAATAAGGGAGACTCCTCTGCTTTAATCTTTACAAGGAAAGTAACTTTGCAACAACTAGTCTGCTGTTTCTGAGTTCCTTATACATACGCTGTCTATAATACCAACTTCTTCCACTCAACTCATCAGAATGCTCATTCTTTTTTCTTTTCCATTTTATCTGAAAGGCAGAGACAGAAAAGAGACACAGGATCTTTCATTTACTAGGTCATATCCCAAATGCCTGCAACAGCCAAGACTGAGCCAAGCAGAAATCAGGAGCTGGACACCCAAACCAGGTATCCAACCTGGGTAGCAGGAACCTAACTAAATACTTGAATGATCACCTGCTGCCTCTCACAGTGTGCATTAGCAGGAAGCTGGAACCAGGACTCAAATCTAGGTACTCCAATATGAGATGTGGACATCACAAGAGGTATCTTAACTACTGTGCACCAAATATGAGCCCCCAGAACACAGTCTGTAATTACAAATAAAGCCAATTAGAAGTAAATTTTCAATTTTGTCTTATATCAAAAGTAAAAAAAAATCTCTATTTCCAGAAGTTTCAAGTATGTAGATACACTTGTGACAGAATTTTCAGCAACATTACTGTATAATAATGGATATATTTTGAAACATTATAATCCTTAAATAAATAAAAACTTATCAAAAACAAAAATTCACTAACAAAATTCTTTCTTCATAGATCAAGGTTTTTGGAAAAGTAGTTACTCATTCACTATTAAGACTTCCCTTTTATCTTGGAGACAGATTAAATTTTCTCCAAAGTAGCTGCTAGGTAAATAGTTTTAAAAAAAGATCAACACATTTGAAACAGCTAAGAGATAAACAGCAAACCCCTATGAAACATTTTCAATGGTCCCACCCCATTTTACTTGAAACAACTGTAGAGACAGCCTATCTTCTATATTTTAAAGGAATTACTTTTATAAAGTTAACTATAATAAAAAGATACCACAGAGGTTAGCGCTGTGATACAGTGGGTTAAGCTGATTACACATCTCAGAGTCCCAGCTGCTCTGCTTCTAATGTAGCTTCCCACTTAAGTGCCTGAGAAGAAAGTGGATGACCACCCCATGACCTAGATGGGGTCCCTGGCTACTTACTGGCTTTGGCCTGACCTAGCCCTAGCTGCTCTTTCCATCTGGGTAGTGAACTAAAGGATGGAAGAGATCTCTCTCTCTCTTTCTCTCTCTCTCTCCCCCAAATAAATCTTTTAAAAAATGTTTTAATATTCTATATTAACTAAACCCTTGGCTTTAGTTTTTACTTATAAATGATGAAGTGAATAAACTGCAACCTTATTCCAATTTCCTCTAAAATGCCAATCAGCAATGCTACTTTATCAGAGGCTACTACATGGGTTTTTCATAAAACAGTTCTTATTCAAGAAAGCATTTGTTGTTGTGTGAACTTAAATTTTTCAGAGGCGTTAAATCAGCTGGATGCTGACCATGCTGTGAAGACATCCTACAGCTGTGTACTTCCTGCTCCCCGGTAACAGGGCCTTTCAACAAACCTCAACCATAACCAAAGGAACATCAGCCATGGGCAAGGGAAACACCTAGGGCCCCTGGATGTAGGAAGTCGTTAAAAATCCCCCTGCTTGCCTCTCTCTGTATATAGATAATATCCTATGTGGAAACGAGTGTGGGAATGTAATACACCTCTTTAATCAATAATCAAGTCTGGGGCCTGTGCTGTGGCGTAGCAGGTAAAGCTGCCACCTGTAGTGCCGGTATCCCTTACAGGCACTGCTTCCAGTCCCAGCTGTTCCACTCCTGATCCAGCTCTCTGCTACGGCCTGTGAAGGCAGCAGAAGACGGCCCAAGTCCTTGGGCCCCTGCATCCACATGGGAGACCCAGAAGAAGCCCTTGGCTTCGGATCGGTGCAGTTCCAGCCATTGCAGCCATCTGAGGAGTGAACCAGCAGATCGAAGACTTCTCTCTCTCCTGCCTCTCCTTCTCTCTGTGTAACTGACTTTCAAATAAATAAATATTTAAAAAACAATATGTTTTTAAAAATGAGTCTGTTGGCTATTATCTAGTGCTCTTCAATTTTCAAAGAGGTATTC